CACAATTTAAACCAATCAATGTTGTGTAATTAACAAGGATAATCTGGTGTTTTTTAGTCGATGAGTAGTGCAGATATCACTGTAAAATCAATCGACAGTAAGGAGAATACTTACTTCCGGGTGTACAATTCTCCGTTATCCAATGAGAATGGACGCTCACATTGCCTTTAAGGGCAGCCGACACAAACGAACGCCGTGCTTCCATGAGCGTCCATAGAAGCATATGGACATCCCGGAAAGCTGAAAATGGACGCTAAGGGCCCCCCCTTGCGTTGAAAATGGACGCTAAGGCCCCCCCCTTGCGTTGGAAAAAGCCGACACAGGACTTGACATAACGTCAACATAGGCCGACCTGGGAGTGAGGATGTGTTGACTGCAACGGTGGTCCCGCAAATCAAGCAAGAACGTGATTGGTCGATATTCATTGTGGGGGTGGGGGGGGAGGGGTGTTAGATAGATATAGAGTTGTAGTAAGTAGATAGAGTTCGCTATGATTTATGTGTCGTTTATGCATAGGGTAGATTCTTTTAATTACATTTCCTTTTTTGTTTTGTGTATTTTATACATTTTGGATTTGCTTGGCGTGCTATTTTTAGAACATGCCCCGCGGGCGACTCACGTTGCCCCTGCGGGCGACTGAGATCCCGCGGGCACCGTGTTGGCTACCCCTGCTCTAGCTCATAACAAACACGTGAGAATATTTGGCCGGTTGCATCCAGGCAATGCAGGTTACTTTAGAGCTATGTGGCCCCCTTTAGCTATCCATAGCAAAAAACACTGTTAAAGACATTCTCTTAACCTGCACGTTGGGTAAGAAATACAAAGGTCCCCACTTCTCACTCTCTGTGCACACAGGAGCATTATTAAAGAAGTGTGTGGGAGAAGGTTGGACACGTTGCATTTTTATAACAGCAGAGACAACTTTTTCATTTATGTGATGGGAGAGGAGAGGTTCTGGCAGCAGAAGTCAAAAACATAAGGTGGTAATCTACTTCGTAAATCCTTTGATGCATTTTGGGTTGAAAATGTGAATTTCAGTGTGATGCTACTATGGTCTTACTTATGCAGAGAAGAGAATCTGAGTTTGGTGAGCAATAACACATGGCAACAGAACATAGGCTCAAAAGTCTAAGGATTAGAGGCCAATGGGTGACGCTAATTGGAGTACTGGCCAGGACTGTGGCTGTGAGGGAGCACACTATGCTGCAATGTCGATTTCAAGGAGGACACTTGTGTTCAGCAATCTGTCGAGAAGAGAGAAGGAGAGCGGCACAGAGTGCTTGTTGGAGGGAATCGAAGAGGGATATGTTTGGTTGGGGAAAGTTTAGGATCACATTTGAGTGGGAAGGGATCACCACATCCACTCATCCTAACCTGTCATTTAAAAACTGCGTCAGAGAGAGTATGTTCTTACTCCACTATATACAGTAGTCAACTATATACGGCAATATTATTACGAAAACAATTATTCTGAATGTTGCCAGACTGCATCATTAAATACATTTTGTTATAGTAAAAAAGACATACAGTATATCAGTGTTGGTTTGCCCTTAAAGCAGGTGCTACTCCAATATCAGGCGTCTGTGTGTGGTCACTTCTGTCAGTGCCACTGCACATGTATAGGATCAATGCCTTCAAAGAGCAGTGGATATCCAGGTACAACACATTTCCTTTAAACAACAAGCTTGTTATTGACACGCTAAAGCACACTCATATACTAGTCTTAGTGAAGGGCCGCAGAGATAAGTCTCTACGCTCTCGTCCAGTGGATCCATAACGCCAAGGGAGCAGCAGCAGTTCTTGTTCTGCCGGAAATTATTGTGAGCACACTGCTGGTGTAATGTGACTTTTTGCAATGCGAGTAAATAACTGCTGAAACAACACTTAAAAACTGTCCCTCAAAAACTTTAGAGGGGGTGAGAAAGCATGACTCCACACAGCAGAGGACATTAAGATGTAAGGTGCCAAATGTCCGGTACTAGAGCCAACATCACATGAATGGAGAGGATGGGAGCAATTATTAAAGCCCTACACCAGGATATTGGCTATTGTGCAGCCATGTTATAAGTTTCTGTCACATGGCAGCTCAAATATTCTGCCTTGTAAATTGTAGTGGTTTTGATTATGTCTGTATTCACTGAGCCATGCTGCTGCTCTGATGAATTTTTCAAATCATTGGCCAAATGCTTTTATCTCAAATGAACATTATCATTGGAGATTGTCTGCTTGGAGTGATTGTTAATTATTGATCAGTATTTGAGATATACATATTCTCCTTTGAGGATTAATTAACTCAAGCTTGAACTAAACTAAAATATCATCTCATCCAAATATAGCTGCAAAGAAAGGAGAGGGGCAAAATATCTAAATGCATGCAAAACTCTTTTCATTTTGTGAAAGGTGAGCTGCTGGATATCTATGAGTTTCTGCGAAGATAAAAAGATTGGAAAGAGATTCAATATGCAGATATCCTTATCTCTCTCAAACACTTTAAGCACCAGGCGGTGAGGAGGAAAACAAAATAACTCTTTCCTCAATAAAATGGCATGAAGAGAAAACCTGACTATATTTGGCTGAAACAGCTGAGCTTGACCTCATTTGCAAACCCACATGACTGGCATGCTTATAGGGAAAAGAGGATTCCTAATGCAGATCAGGATTCACAGGTGCTCATTTTGTATTCACAGAAGAGAGGAGGCAATTTTGCCTTGCAATATTTCCCCGTTAGTTATTAGATACTTTTAGATGAAGTGGACTGATAATGGATAGAGAGGGACTTTGGAAATTAAAAGTTAAATCAACTGAAGTTACTTATCAAATCTGTCTAAGTCACAGACTGGAAGCTTTTTATGTAACATATGCCATCAACTCTCACCAACTATAGCCATCAGTGTAACTTTGTGGCACGTACCTACTGCAATTTTCTGTTAACATGTTCTAGCTCTAGGACTGTTGCTCCCTCACGTTTCTAACCTTTGTTTGACGACTATGACTTTGCAAGACTTAGATCTAAACAATGTAAAAGGACAGAATAATCTCTTACCGGCAATCATGATGGCCAAGTAAGAGATGTGTCTTTTTGGAAATATACTCATCTTGAGGTGCAACAAAGCAAGTCATCAACAGGTAAGTGTGATTGCATCCAACACCGTGCACTGCCAGGTGATGTTGCATTGCAATACTGTATAAGTGTAGGTTACATTTTTGAGCACTTTGTGTTTGGATTCTAATCTGCATGCTTGTCTCATTTAAATATTTGAGAAGGCTGCTCAAAATACAGCATTATAGCATTGCTTAGTAAAGGTCTCTACACTGAAGTGGCCTCCTGCATTTAAATAAATTGGTATCATATAACCTACAGACAAACAAATCAACATTAATTTGATCATTAAACATAATTGCACAATCATAATATTGGTGGACTAATAGAACAGAGACTGTTAATTACTGCTACAATAACAATGTCATTAGATCTGTGTGGTAGCCACCAGCATGACATTTATCTGAGGGTGGGAGAGTGCAGTCATGCAGTCAGTCACATGGCCGCCATCTGGGTGTCACACATGCTGGGTCAGCCCCTCCTGTGTGGAGTCATGCTTTCTCATTCTCTGGCTGGGGCTTTCCCTGTAAGTCAGCAAGTTAACCACAGCAGCCTGCTCATGGTAAATGGACTGTATTTCTATAACCCATGCAAGGTTCCTCCTGCTCAAGGAAGCTAACATTTCAAATGCTGTTGGCCATGCCATTGGGAGCAACTTAAGTTGGGTTAAGTATCTTGACCAAGGATACATCAACATGTATGAGGCAAGTGTCAGACACAAAGCAACAAGGCCTGTTTGACTGACTTTCTTTTGGACACTGATATACACTTCATCTTCCAATCAGCAGGAGCAGAGCTAATGGGAAGGAGCACACTGGAAGATTATGCTGTTATTGCACTCGTTTCACAAAAACCCTTAATTCCTGCAATAAATCAACATACTGGACTCAAGACATAACGAAAGGCATGACATGGCTTGTTTTAATGGTCATAACTTTTGTAAGGTTTTCTTAACATCATTAGATGTTATTGTTTTTTGACAGAGGTCCTTCCTGGTGTAGATGTTGATCATTTTAGCCAGTAGGCAATTTATTTGTTTTTAATTACTGCTACTGGCAAGGCAAGATGGTCAGTGCAGTGTGGAAGCCATCATCGGAGGGCTCGATATCAAAGCAAAGCTCTGCTCATTTGGCACTAGCGTCCAAATCAAGGCTGAAAGTCAGCCACAGCTGTGTCTTTGACTTGTTGCTAAGGAAAAGTGAATGAGGAAAGATGTGGAAACTTCCTTTTATAAGGCCAGCCTTCAAAGCATTATATATGTTTGCGCAGTGGTTATCTGGATGGACTCTCTGGATGTTTAACGTATAATAAAAGTCTAATCCAATGACAGAGAACAGCTGTACTGTAAAACAGGCCGTCTGGTTATTTCACTGGGTTTGGGAATTCCTTGCACAGTGCAGCTTGGCTCAGATTACACAGCATGTAAACAGTTTCTGGCAGGGCATGCAAGTAATCCCATCTCATTAAGCCACTGCTAACAATGCTAAGTGAACTGTGACTTCTCAATGTGCAAATGCATGTTAAAATAAATGGGCTGGAAAACACTTTTCCTCTGTCCGTCCCTTTTCACCTGTGAGCTCTGGAAGGGGTCAACATCCATCAGGCAGCCGTTAATGAGTCAGATAGACGGAGGGAAACTCTGCAGAGGGGGCTGAGACAGAATGTGACGGAAACCGGACACTGCTGACATAATTGGTTTAGATGTGTGCAGGCAAAACTTTGTTTAATTTGCAACCTAAAAAAACCTAAGGAAAAATGTCACTTTTACAACCTCCTCACCCTGGTTCACCCCTGCACTCCGTAAGCTAAAGCAAACCGGCCGCCAGCTTGAACGCCTAACAAATAAATCATCCCTGACAGTTCACCATGAATCCTACAAACTCCATCTCACTACCTACAGAGACGCCCTCACTGCCGCAAAAACTGCCTACCTCTCCACCATCTTTACCGACCCCTCCAATAACCCCAGGACCCTCTTCTCCACCGTCAACAAGCTCCTCAAACCCCGTGCCGACACCCTCCCTTCCTCTACTTCCACTTTATGCAGTTCATTCCTCCAGTTCTTCTCTGACAAAATCACTGCCATTAATCTCTCCCTTTCCACTGCATCTGACACACATACATCTCCCCCAGCATCCAGCGCCACAATTTCTCCCCCCATCTCCCTGGACCTCCCGATCCTTCCTCCCCACGGCCGCCTCTCCCAGTTCACTCTGGTTACCCACCCTGAAATAGTCAAACTGATCAGCTCCTCCAAACCCACAACCTGCTCCCTTGACCCTCTACCCACCCCTCTACTGAAGTCCTGTCTCTACTGACGTCCTCTGCCCCTACCTTGTCAACCTTTTCAACTCCTCCCTGTCCCAAGGTACCGTTCCCTCGGCCTTCAAAACTGCTGCTGTCACTCCCATCCTCAAGAAACCCGGTCTGGATCCCTCCTCCCTCAGTAACTACCGTCCCATCTCCAACCTCCCCTTTCTCTCAAAACAATAGAACGCATTATCTCCAAACAACTCCACCGCCATCTCCAAACCAACCAGCTTTTTGAACCCCTTCAGTCTGGTTTTCGTCCCCACCACAGCACAGAAACAGCCCTCATCAAAGTCCTCAATGACCTCCTCACCTCTGCTGACACCGGTTCCCTCAACATCCTCTTCCTCCTCGACCTGAGTGCAGCCTTCGATACCGTGAGCCACACCATCCTGCTCACCCGACTCCAGGACATCGGTATCGATGGTACTGCACTCAGGTGGCTCCAGTCCTACCTCTCCGACAGATCCCACTTCATCTCCCTCAACAACCACTCCTCTTCCACAGCTTCAGTCACCCAAGGTGTTCCCCAAGGTTCAGTACTCGGCCCCCCTCCTCTTCATCATCTACATCCTCCCCCTTGGTCAGATTCTCCGCAAATACAACCTGGACTTTCACTGCTATGCCGACGACACCCAGATTGACCTCAGCACCAAATCCCCAACAACCCCCCCCTCACCCCACATCGAATCCTGTCTGACTGCACTAAAATCCTGGATGCAACACAACTTCCTCAAACTCAACAGCAATAAAACTGAACTCCTCCTCATCGGATCAAAATCCACCCTCAGCAAAACCCCCAACCTGACAATCACCATTGATGGCACCCCTGTTTCCCCCTCCACCCAGGCACGCAACCTTGGCGTGATATTTGACCCCACCCTCTCCCTCGAGCCCCACATCCGTCATGTTGTCAAAATCTAATTTTTCCACCTCCGCAATATTGCCAAACTCCGTCCCTCTCTCAACCGCCCTGCAGCTGAGCGACTCATTCACGCCTTCATCTCCTCCCGCCTTGACTATTGCAACTCCCTCCTCTACGGCATCAGCTCCACCTCCCTCAGTAGACTCCAGCGTGTCCAGAACGCAGCCGCCAGACTCCTCACCCACACCAAATCATGGCATCATATCACCCCTGTCCTCAAAGAACTCCACTGGCTCCCCGTTACACACCGCATCAATTACAAACTCCTGGTCCTCACTTATAAAGCCCTCCACCATCTGGCCCCCCCCTACCTCACTGACCTCCTCACCCTCTACCAACCACCCCGGTCCCTCAGATCCACCTCAGCCGGTTTGCTTTCAATCCCCAAGGCCAAACTCCGGAGCTTCGGGGACAGAGCCTTCTCTGTGGCAGCCCCGAAGCTCTGGAACTCACTCCCCCAAGACCTCCGTGAGTCTGAGTCCCTCACCCTGTTCCAGTCCCGCCTCAAAACCCACCTTTTCAACTCTTTATCTATAAAGCCCCCCCCCTCTTAATCAACTTCCTCCTGACTGCTTTTCTGTTGTGTTTTTTTGTTTTGTTTTGTTTGTTTTTTTGTTTTGTTTTGTTTGTATAACCCCCTCCCTAATGTAAAGCGTCTTTGGGTCCAGAAAAGCGCTATATAAAATTAATATATTATTATTATTATTAACCTACTGTAACTGACAATGGATTTAGGATGACAACATTACTTTTTTTTTTTATCATCTTTCTTACTGTGTTGGCTGAAAACATTCTTTAATGTCCTGGAGAATAATGAGTCGTAGGATAATGTCTCTAGAATAGCAGCCAATTAGGATCAATCACACTCATAACCCATCCTTTTGTAGGACTCCGATGGTGCAAAGAACCTCAAAGGCATGACAAATAATTGATGGCAATGTATTACCTCCTACGCTCTCATTTTTTTAAACCTATCTCATTTGAGATGAGTCAAGAGGAGCTGCCACGTTATCAGGCATTCCTAGAAGTAATAATGACAACAATGTTAGAGAAGTTATGCAAATGTTTTCAATGCTAAAAAGGGCTTTTATGTTTGATGTCATGAGTTTTTAGTGCACTCTCTAAGCTTACGTTCAGTTTTGCAACTGAAGCAGAGGATTACAATTTGGCTCTTGAATGATGTTGTCACTGTTCTCCATCTCTTTCAGTCTGAGCCTCAGGATCGGTGACCTCTGAGGACAGGGGGACTTCAGTTTGTGACAGGCCTGTTAACATTGGGGATTTCTCCCTAACTTTAGCTTTAAGTGTGAAATGCTTTGTTGGTATTAACATATTGTTAGTGAAAACAGAACAACATTTATTCTGATGCTTTAGCATGGCATTTTGCCAACTGATGTCCCAGTTCATCGAATCATTCTTACCTTAGGCAAGGGAAGCGCGAGTTAAAGTGTGTAATCTAAAGAGAGCTAATGATAGCATCACGGGGGGTGGGTGGACACCCCCCATCTCTGCTTTCCTCCAGCTCAGTCTACATTATTTTTTACTCCATCTCATGCTGCTGTATTTTACATCAACCAATGCCGAAAGAGTGCAGAATAAATCTCATTGTACTGGAGTGTGACATACTGAAAACTGACAAATGCATGCATGGAACAAGACGAATATGCAAATGTGCCTCGTCCTGTAATCCAGCAGTGATCACAAGAGGTACTAAAGAGCCACAGAGTCACGAAACTGCGCCTCTCGAAAAAGCTGGGAGCCAGAGAACATTTCAAATAATTCCACTCTCCCAGAATAAAACAATGACTCACAAATATCACCTTACTTCTCTGTGAAGATCAGATACAAAGCACCGAGCACAGCTACACCCACTCAACTTTTATTTATATTGCATACTTGGAAGAATCCCAGCTATGTATTTTTCCCAATCTAATATGAGCCAACTATGGTTTGAACAGTGGAATCCCATTGTGTTCCTCCTCAGTATTCACTGTTGTCTCAATATCATGCCTTCAGTGTCTGTGGTTGAAATCTATTATTAACGTTTGAGCTTTAACCCTTAACCAATATTAGATGTGTAAAAAAAAAGTTCCAAATATAACCGATCAATAAGTTAAAAGAGTCAGAGTTGCTGCAGTGGGGACATGTACAGCATCACAGCAGCAAAGGTATACAGTACAGATAAAAGGCGAAAGTAAAAAGAGTATCCTTATTTATTAAATTAAAAAAGGTAAGCACACAATTGAAAATATAAACAAATGAGGAAAAAACAATTAAGTATACCGGTAAAGAATAATTTGAAAACGTAAGGAAAAATCAAGGAGGAGGAGCTGGTAACGTTAAAATGTACTGCATATAAAAACGTATGTAAAACTCATTTCTATATTGAGGCAGTTATGTCAAATAAGATACTGTAGAGAATAATACATATTGAATTCTGCATTAATATAAATCTTTGGACGTGGGAACTGGTAAAGTCTACCAACAGGTGACATCAGGGGGTCTTAGTGAACTGTAATGAGATGTACACAAGTCATGAAACATGCACAAAAGGTCAAGAGCACTTCGGCTCCTCTGCATAGAAAGGGAGACCTTGAGAGATCAATACAGAGGTCACATCACCGCTCTCAGCTGATGATGATCTGCCACTGTGACAAGTGATACCAGTCTCTCATACACAAGACAATTAGCCTCACATATTAGATTGTGTGTTGATAGTTTATAGGACAAAGGCTGGAGCACTATGTTACACTGTTTTGAAATTATTTGTAGACATTGAAATAAGGATGATCGACGTTGATTTGCTTTGCCTGCATATTCAGTCTCAGATTTATACTTCTGGTAGACTCTAAAACCCTGTGCACATAGGAAACATCTACAGAAATGTCTGAAAGTCTAAAAATACCGTAACACAGTCACTCCATAAATAACTATGCTATTGCAGAGTGTTACTGTATGTGTGAGAAAGGTGCGGCAAGACAGAGACAGAATGGTGAACTCTTATGTTGATTTAAAGTTCAAGTTCAAACTTAGCAGTATTGTTTTTATGTAGGCACCGACACACACCAAGCAAGCAGCCTGAGCAAGGTCTACAGCCTTTAACAACTCACGGAATCTGCTACATTTCGCTTACAGGGCCCGCAGCTTAATCAATAACACAAACAGCTTGACTTCATGGTCACATTTGAAAAGTCCAGTTCCTGCTTCAACACCACATACTCCACTGTAACTGTGGAAAGTGTGTAAGACAACGGAGTAGAAGTGCTCGCTGTAAAGTACCATCAATCACAGAAGAGGAGGGATGGAGGCTGATCCCACGCCCTCCCAGCATCCTCGCCACCAGACTGCAATATCAGAGTCAGTACGGGTCAATCCCACCTGGACCGCTGGCATCTGAACAGCTTGTATCCTGAACCTACACTTCTACCAGCAGCACCTACGAAACAAACTGGACCGTCCGCACAGCCTTTACTCGAAATATCTCAACTGCTGGTCCTGAAAACCATCGGTAGATCGGTGACTAGAGTATCATCACATTCTACATTGGTTGTGCCATTCTAAAAGGTGTATGTTCTGAGGTTGTTTACTGCAGGGTGAGATAAACAGCAGTCAGTGCATGTGTACAACTCCAGTAAAAGTACATCTAACAATTAGTAAAGTAAAAAAGGGATAGCAGAAATATGTTGTTAAAGTATAAAGTAAGCTACAAGGACTGGTTGGATCCCTATAAACTGAAATATAAAATGACGTTATTCAATTATTATTAATACTATCAATGTTAAAGCAGCATGTTACTGTTTTAGCTGGTGGAAATGCAGCGATTCAGATAAACTTGAGAGGAAAGAAGACAAACAAATCACTAATAAGAAATATTTTAGTAAACTTTCTTTTTTTGGTGAGATAATGGATATTTAATTGCCAAAAGACACAGCATTTGAGCATTTGTAAATGTAAAACTGTAAACAGTCTACTACATCTGAAATGTTATGGCGTACAGTAGAAGTGCAAATTGGCATGAATACTTGAGAAAAGTGCATGTACCCCCAAGTGCATTGAGTACATGTAACTAGTTACTTTTCACAA